AGCCAACCTCAATCAGAAAATGCAAATAAACTATAGAGCACTTTAATTTGACCTTTTTACCATTTTTTTTTTTTTAAATTCAAATTAAAACAAAGTTATCTAGATAGACGGACAACAAAGAGTTCGACATGTATCAATGGGCAGGTTCAGTCCAATCAGATTTTACTGCCTGCTTGTAAACCTTTGTGTGTAATCGAGGTACAACAATACATGAACGACAGAAAACAAAGCTCCTGCAACATGCTGAATGGGTGCCTAAATTGTTTACAAATTCCTGCTGGGTGGCAGCGTCCCGCCACCTTATTTGTCCCAGAGCGCACAGCGGCAATAACGAACCCCATTAGAGTTCATTAGTGTGATAACATCAACTAAATGTCCACAAACAAGCAAACAGTCCCCGTGCCAGCTTGTGCTGAATGACGGGAGAGGTTGGATCAGACCTAACCCAGTGGAACTGAGCTAAATGAGCTCATGAATGGACTTACGACAGGAAAAGACAACTAAACCAAACGTTAAAAAGATGAGATGCTCGTCTAAGGTTTGATTAAATAGTTCCGTCATGTCCGATAGTTTTTATTTTGCAAGTAAAAAAAAAATGGCCGGCAGGTGCGACAAATTATTAAAAACAAAAATCAAAGTTCGAACAAGCATCGATGTTCGTTTATACAAATATAAGACAGGCGATTTGTTAGCACTCAGAGTATGTGTTGGGGGTCACTCTCAGCTACTACCACAGAAAACTTTAGCTTAATATCTGTCAAATTGATCCCTTTATGGGCACTCCGCCACACTGAACACACATCCACCCAGATGTGTAGGGAAAATCCAGATGAAGTTCTTGTTTCAGGTCTGTACAGATACAAGCTTTGTCCTCACATTCTACAGTTTACTCTGAATTTAAAGACAGTGTGAATGTTTTTTGCAGAAGAACTTGCTGAAATTAGCTAAAAAAAAAGGCATGCTGAAGCATAGTTGAAAACATAGAACAAGTTTAAATCAGCAGGAGAAAGCAGAAAGAACACAAATGTTGAAATGTGTGCAATAAATGTGGAATTAGCTAAAAAAAAAAACTCATAAGCATGAAAAAGGCTAAACAGCTGAAATAAATTAAACTAGCAGAAAGAAGCTGAAGAAACATAACAAGCTGAAATTAGCAGAAATAATTTAATTAGGCTGAAAGTAGAAGAAATGATCATAAAACAATTGAATTTATCTGAAAACAGCGAATATTAGCTAAAATATGCTAAAAAGTTAGCTGAAAAGGTAGAAAAAGCTTAAATTAGCAGAAGAAAGCAGAAAGAACACCTTTGCCCAATTAGGCTTAAAGAAGCAGAAATGAGCACAAAAAGTGGAAATTACCTGAAAAAAGCTGAAATTAGTACAAAAAAAAAAAAAAAAGCTGAAAAGTAGCAACAAAACCAGAAAGAAACTTAAATTACCAGAAGGAAGTGGAGAGCACATTTTTGCTGAATTTGACAGAAAAAAAAAAGTTTAAATGAGTGCAACAAAAATGGAATTAGCTGAAAAAGCTAAAATTAGCATAAAACAGCTGAAATAGCAGAAAAAACTAAAACTTGCAGAAATAAGCAGAAAGGCGCAGAACAAGCTGAAATTAGCAGAAAGACATTAAAAGAAGCACATAAATATTGTAGTTAACAGAAATAATCTGAAAGGAGTACAAAACAGCTGAAAACTAGCTGAAAAAACAGCTGAAATTAGCTGAAAGTAGAAAAAAAATAATTTGCTCAAGGAAGCTGAAAGAAGCTGAACCAGAACAGAATGTGAAAGAAGCAGTAAAAGGTTGTAAACAGATCTAAAGATTTGAAGGAGGTAAAATGAGCTCAGTTCATTTTCTATGAGAAAAACAGTGGCAGAAAAGGCTAAATGTTTCAAAAAGCCAAAGTTGCACCAATACCAAAAGTCATAGCAGGATTGTCCTGAACAATATGATTTATGATTTGTTGAAATAGCACAACAATTGTGGAACGAGAAAGATGCAGAAAAATATAGGAAATAAAAATGGATCACAATAGTGTGTATGCTTCATAAACATCACAATTATTTGGACCTCATCAGTCACGAGTGAAGCTCAGCCACAAGACATTGTACATTCCAGCATGATCACCAGGCAAGAAATAGGAAAGTACCGGTAATTTAAATATTTGTTACAAAAAGAAGTCCTGGAATGAATATTGCAAACCACAGTCTTGTGAACACTTCATCAGAACGTGGAGAAAAAACTTAGTTTTCTTTCAAGTTGTAATCTGAGTTTGAACAGTAATATATATTTTTTATATATATCCACACCCCAAATAATGAAAATAATCGTTTATACTGCAAAACTCTGACAAAGCAGTTTCCTCCAGAACAGTGGTCTGCAACCTTTACGATCAAAAGAGCCATTTGTGCGCCTTCATTCACTAAATTATACGTGTCCAGAGCCGCAACAGCCTGCTACAACTGTGATTATCAAGTGGTGGCCCATGGGCCGCTTTAGGTTTGTTGGAGGGTTTTTTGTGTCCAGTAGGGGCCACATATTATAAAGCTAAACATATAATGATTTTTAAACATTTATTGATATTTATACAATTTAAAACAAAAGAAAAAAACGTTCTTGTAAAGGAAAAAAAAATGTACCATTCATGTAAAAAAACACTATGCAGACCTGTGAATTTTTATTGGTGGAAAAAATAGTTATTTCCGCCCTATAATCACACTGTTTTGCATAATTTACATGCCCTGAGACTTGCAGGCCAAAGCGGCATATTTATGTATTTTTTCTCATATTTATAAACCAATTTTGGGCTGAGATATGACCGTTTTCATTCATTCTAACTGATTTTTTTTAGCAGTACCACTTTCAGCCATGCTGTTGTATCATGTAATATGTTAATGTGGCTATAATGACAAATTCAAAAAGTTCAAGATAAAAACAACTGGACTTTATTTATTATACTTTATACTTTCTTTTCCTTGAACTTTTTTGAATTTACCATGTCCTGGATGACTGAGAATCTTCACCAGCTATTAATGACGTAATCGGCCTGCCATAGCCCCCACCTTCCTTCTGCTCGCTGCTTGGACCCACCATCAAACCAGCTGCACCGCCCCGGCAAAATTCAGCTAATTTGACCATTAAAGTGCATTTATTAAGCAAACGTTAGACTGAGACACACATTTACTATAATTTTGAGCAAACAAATAATTGTTTTTAAATTTTATTCATGTTAAAGTCCTCCCATGGCCTCCATTTGGCAGCCCATTGATTTTTGGCACACCGGCCCACGTTTCCGGGTTGTCAGCGGTGACGCGTAATAGATGCGACGTATACGGCGAAGCGACATATTTATGGATTTTTCCACTTTTATTTATTAGACAAATATGGACGGATGCAACTTATGGCGACAAGTACGGCGGAAAATACGGTAGGGATAGAAATAAAGCATAAAATTAAAGTATTCTAGTTCTAGTATTTACATATTTGCAAAATGAATGACCAAAAAACTGAAGTATGCAAACTACTGATACTAGCTTTTTGTTGTTGTTGCTATAACAACCAATAAAATTCAGATTTATATTAGTTTTGGTCAAAACTTGAAAGAGCCGCAAGTGGCCCCAGAGCCGCAGGTTGCAGATCCCTGCCCCAGAAGATTGATCTATTTGGTAGTTTTGTTTTTCCTCAAAGTAACAATAAACCATATTTGCTCTTTACTATGAAAATAAAACAGATTAAGCCGATATACTTTATTCTATTTTATTTCTTCGTGCTTATTTGTTTTATTGTCGTTTATTTTTAACATTTCTCTCACTGTATTTCATTTTATTTGACTGTGAAGTTCTTTGTGAAAACTGAGCTACAGTAGTTGTGTGAATGTTCATGAAGCATCCACACTATTGCCATCCATTTTTCTTCCGTACGGTTTTTGGCATCCGCAATCTTTGTTCCATTTCAACATATGTATCAAAAGGTTCAGCTCGTTCAGGAGAAGGATGCTATGACTTTTGGTACTGGTGCAACTTTAGCTCTTTGAAATAAAATTAAATTAGTTCTACTAATTTCAACTTCTGCTCCTTTCAGCTTATTTCTATTTGTTATTTCAGCTACTATTTAGCTGTTTTTGTTAGCTTTTTCAGCTAATTCCACTTTTTTTTTTTGCACTCATTTCAACTTTCGTGTTCTTTCTCCTGCTGATTTACACTTGCTCTACATTTTCAGCTACGTTTCAGCATGTTTTTTAGTTAACTTCAGCTGTTTTTCAGCAAGTTCTTCAGCATTTCCTGTGAAAATGCAAGTTCTCTAGTTGTTGTTTTTTTTTCCATTCAACCTTTAGTTATTAGTTATTATAGGTTAGTCTCTTTGAGCCACGAGGACTCATTTACAAGCGAGAGCTGTTAAATAGCCTTTACTTGCTTTTGTTTAGAAATAAAAAAAAAGGGTTTAAATGTCTAGTGGATGATTCTGATTTGGTCCTGGATGCATGCAGAGCCACTTTCAGCTGGTAAAGGGTTAACAGGAGTTAACAGCCCTGCTGCTGCTGTGTTTACACTTCATGAAGACAAGTTTACACCCAAAGCTGTGGCTGTGGAAACTGCTTTCTCCTCACACACAGGAAAATTATCACAACTAATGGAATAAACACGGAAGAAAAGAAGACAAATAAACCGTTTAAATCGACTTCCCTGACATGTTTCTGCAGAGTTTGACACCATTTCGCCAACAGAGCGGTTTAAAAAATGACTCAAAGCCAAAGTGTTACACAACACGTCCAGCTCAGTCGACATTTTTTTTGTTTGTTTGTTTGTTTTGTTTTGTTTTAAAGAAAGGTCCATTCCAAACTGGTAACATTTTCTTACGCAACACCTTTCCTTTCTGTTCCGCTGGTTCTAAAGCAAAAACAAACTTAAGAGGAAGTTTAATCAACCTGAAAACTGCGACTCCGAGAGGAAAGCGTCACAACACACGGGCAAGAAGAGGAGAAAAGAAACGGAACCGGGCCCACCTGGGCGCGAGCTGCTTGTTAACCCCCCCGCTCTTCTACTTCAGCATCCACGGTCCGGCCGTACAGGACACCGTCGGTACCGGAGAAACTCACTGAGCCGACAGCTCCGCCATACTGGACTCGTCACGTGAATGGGAGGGAGGATGGGTTGGGGGAGAGAGAGAGAGAAGGGAGGAGAGAGAGGATGATTGACTTGTTTGGGTCGTTTGTCCCCAAAAAAACTAAAGCAAAGACATAACAGAGCCTGGTCTTAATATGGGGGAGTGGTGGCGCAGAGGTTGGAGAAGGCGAGCCTGCTGTTCAACTCCCCAGACCAACAAGATCAAAAGTGGGAAAGGTGAAGCACCCACACCTGCCTCCACCTTCATTTGCCCCACTCTGGATCCTTGAGCTTGACCCTTAACTAGGCCTGTCGCAACAAACAATAAATAAATGAAAATTATCAACCTCATTTTAATTTATCGGCTTTATCGTTTCTTCGTGTCTACTTCTACCGAAGACACTGGATCACAATAAGCTCAACTCCGGTGCTCTTCACTGACTCCTCCATTTCTCTTTAAAAATTCATTTCAACCGTCCAAAAATCGCGTTTTTGTATCGTTAAAAGCAGCTAAGCTACGAGTTAAGCTAGCAGGCCGACCTCGGGGAAATAAACCTCCGTCTTGTCGAAGCTCCAAAATTCATGGTTGAGCCCCGTGCCTTCGTGTAAAAAGTTTTTCTCTGCAAAAAGAAGATGAGAACTTGTTTACTGATTTTAATTTTTTTTTTATTAAAAGCTTTGTGTGAAAAATGCTATGCCAAAGAGTTCAAACCACACTGAGCGTCCATCATTTTGAGAACCGAGACAGCACATGTCACGTCAAGGGGCCTCCCTCCCATTTTCCTCAAAGTGTCACGCTGCTCTCGCCCTTACTATCCATCCTTCAGTTCAAACAGTTATACTGCCATCCGGTGGTCGAAAGAAGGTACTACTTGCAAAACAATTTAACAAACATTTCTTCTTAAATTTGACAGTAATTACTAAATGTCAAACAATATTTTCGTTTATCGCAATAATTTCTGAGACATTAATCGCCCAGCAAAATTTGTTATTGGGACAGGCCCACCCTTAACACCCACTATCTGCACCCTAGATCGCAGCTCTCTGATCCACACAGAAGGCTGTGGTAGCTCGCTGGTCTGTGGTTGCGTCAGGAAGGGCATCCAGTGTAAAAACAATTGCCAAGTCCTCATGCGAGTTAGTTCACCGTGGCGACCCCTGAAGAAGGGAGCAGCTGAAAAAACAAATAAATATATTACAAACACACACTAGGGGCTGAAAGAGGATATACAGAAGTTGTTGTGAGTCAAGGTGGCAGTTGTCCCAGTGTAGTGGGTATACTGTGCTTAGAAACCAAAGTACACCAGTTAGTACAATGGAATTGTCAGTTTATTTTGATTTTTAAGCATATTGAACATTTCCAATTTTCTCTTATTCTCTGGATAAACGTACAACAAACTTTGTACAACAGTTGGCTTTGTATTGAAAACATGTTATAGAAATTATAAAACAGTATCAAAGCAAACTATGTTCAAGTCTTAGGTACAGAATTATACAATAATTCGTTGGATAAGCGAATGTAATAAACAAGCGCTCCATATAGATAGATTGTTACGGAAGCGTTTAACTGCCGTTTAACGTATCAATGACACGTGCCTAATATGGCATGTATCATTGGGCACTTTTTAAATGGGTATACTGAAATTCGTAAGCTTATCTAGGGGGTATACTCCGTATACCCGCGTATTGCGTAGACTACACCACTGTCCCAGTGGTCATTGGAGCATTGGGTGCTATGACCCCCAAACTGGGAAAAATGGCTCCAAGAGATCCCAGGAACAACCTTAGATATCTCTGTCCAGAAGAGCGCAGTCCTGGGAACAGCTGAGATACTGAACAGAACCCTCAAGCTGCACGGCCTCTGGTAGAGGACCTGAGTTTGAAGTGAAGACTAGAGCAAGCTAGAAGTTTGGGTTTATATATATATATATATATATATATATATATATATATATATATATATACACACACCAGTATATCTATTCTGTACCATCTTCGTTATTGTTTCTAATAAAGAGTGATGTTCAAAACCAGATTTGATAGATAAGACAAGAATGAACGCTCAAGCACAAGTTTTGTCCCAAGTTCCTTGACGAGGCAGCGCAGTCAGTGTTAACTGGTTACAATGGTGTCTCAATAATCCAGAATCTACCCAAACCATATATTTGACCAATCAAAGGTATTTTCCTTTTTTTCTTAAAAGTTCCACCAAGCTAACTGTTCTATTAGTAACTATCTTAACTAAACTATTAATTACAGTAATTAAAGCTTATTTCCTTTTCCGTATTTACAATGAGCATGTCCGAAGTGCCTTCCCAAGAAGAGATAACATTGCAAAGGCCTAATTTTGCTGAAAGTCTTATAATAAAAATATTAAGTGGAATAAAGGCTCAAACATATAAAAATACATATTTCAAAATTTTACATAAATCAAAGCAAAATAATTTACAATGGTCAAGGTAAATACATTTAAAGTACGTTAGCCAGCCTCCAAAGGCTTTTTTTTTTTTTTTACACCTTCCACCTTCTCAGTTCAAGCTTTCCCTGGGATTTTTTATTTTTTTTAATGCCAATATGATTTTCCAAACTGTGGAGAACATGTGGGAACCTGTTGGCTTCAGAGGAGGATTTATTACTGGGTGGAGGGACATAAACGGTGGATTTTCCATGTAAGAAAACAAAGCGTGTTCTCACTGAGGGATGGGCTTTGTTAATAGAAGTTCAGCATTATGGCTGCTTTGTCTGCCCTGAAGAAAATTACTTACAGGTTTTGAGACAAACCTGACTGTTTTTTTTTATTTTTTGTGAAACAAAGACTTTCCTCTCTTGATAAGTAAACTATTATTTTAAAAAGAACTAATGCCTGTTTAAAAGCCCTTCGCAACTAATTCTAATGCACGTTAGAGCCGTTTCTCACCATATAGTGTGATTTGTTGTGATCAACCGTTTTCCTGGTGAGATCCACAAAACTTTCAGTGGTTCGTGAGATATTTTGCTAACAGACAGAAATGGACACAGACCGTCTTGCGGTGGCGAGATGATAATCAGGAGACTTGTTTGCTTGTTTTGTGAATGTTTGTGAAGCATTTATTGTGATCCATTTTTCTTCCGTATGTTTTTCGGTGTGATTCTTGTCCCGCAGTTTAAGCTAGTTCAGCAAAACATATATCAAAACATTTGGCTCTTTTAGGAGACGGGTGCTATGAGTATTGGTATTGGTGCAGCTTTAGCTTTTCGAAATATTTAGCCTTTTCTGCCATTTTTTTTTTTTTTTTACAGAAAATGAACTGAGCTCACATCCTTAAAATTTTAGATCTGTTTACAACATTTTACTGCATTTTGTTCTGCTTCAGCTTCTTTCAGCTTCCTTGTGCAAATTTTAAAAAATACTGCTAGTTTCAGCTAATTTCAGCTGTTTGTCAGCTGTTTTGTGCTCCTTTCAGATTATTTCTGCTAACTACAACATTTTTGTGCTTTTTCTTACTTGTTTCTGCTAATTTCATCTTGTTGTGCTCCTTTCAGATTATTTCAGTCAGAGATTCTTTGTCATTCACATCTCATGTGGTACATGTGGTGGAGCGAAATTATGTACACAGGGTCCCAGTTACATCCAACAACAAAATGCAAAAGAAAAACAGCAATAACATCTAAGATATAAACTAAGAAAAACATGCACTAAATATACACTAAGCACTAATAGCATAAAAAACATTACGTAGAACATCAGCACAAACATGAACACGAGTCTGTGTGAGCAGATGAGCACGCACAAACACACCAACACTGAAACGGATCAGCAGCAACACAAAACAGATCAGCAGCAACATGATGTGATTATTCTGGTTAGAGATTCATGAGTCTAACAGCCTCAGGGTAGAAGCTGTTCCTCAGTCCAGTGGTTCCACACCCAATGCTCCCCAATCCCCTTCCCAAGGGAAGCGGGGCAAAAAGTGTGTGTGCTGGGTGAGTGGGGTCCTTCATGATGCAGGTGGCCCTCTTCCTACATCTGGAGGTGTAGATGTCTGTGATGGTGGGGAGACTGACTCCAACAGACTTCTGTGCAGCCTTCACCACTCTCTGCAGAGCTTTTCTTTTTGCAGCTGTGCAGCCTCCATGCCACACGTTGATGCTCGAGCACAGGATGCTCTCCACTGCACACCTGTAGAAGGAGGTGAGGACTGAGCTTCCCAGACCAGCTCGTCTCAGCCGTCTGAGGAAGTAGAGTCTCTGATGAGCTTTCTTGATCAGGCTGGTGGTGTTGTTGTTCCAGCTGAGGTTGTCATTCATGTGTACACCCAAGTACTTGTAGCTGGAGACCACTTCCACCGCAGATCCTCTTATGTTCAGGGGGTCGCAGGCGTATTTGTTCCTTCTGAAGTCCACAATCATCTCCTTTGTCTTCTTCACATTGACGCAAAGGTTATTCTCTTTGCACCAGCTCTCCAGGCGTTCCACCTCCTGCCTGCAGCTGGACTCATCACCGCCCGTGATGCATCCCACCACCGCTGCATCATCCGCAAACCCCACAACGTGACAGCCTGGATGGGTAGCTGCAATTTCTGCAAGTTTCAGCTTTTCCTGCTGTTTCAGCTTTTTTTTTTTTAGTAATTTTGTGCTAAATTTAGCTTTTTCAGCTAATTCCACATTTTTTAAGCTCCTCCCACTCCTGGTAATTTAAGCTTCTTTCGGCCTTTTCAGCTTTTTTTTTTTTTTTTTGCTAATTTCAGCGTTTTTAGCTAATTTCCAATTTTTTTTTTATTTTTTTATTTTTGCTAATTTCTGCTTATTTAAACTTAATTCAGCAACTATGTGTTCTTTCTGTTTTCATCTGCCAACTTTGGCTTGTTCTTCCATTTCAGCATGTTTTTTTTTAAGCTAATTTCAGTTCTTCTGCAATAAGCATTCACACTGTTATTTTTCAGGAAATGAAATTGTTCTATTCTAGTTATTTCTGATCCTGGTAGGTGATGTTTTGGTACCAGGAATATTGTGTTTTATTTTTATTTGTTTATTAATTAAAAAAAAAAAAAGTTATTTTA